AGATTAAAAACATGGTTTTACAGCACAGTTGTAATTCAGATCCCATCCAACTTGGAATGAATCCTGATTATCATAAGTTACGGCACTTGTGTCAGGCAGAGTTCAACAGCATCGTCTGCTTGTCTGCTGCTAGGTATGTGCTGAAGTATTTTGTTGAGTCAGGGCCTTTATATCTTTCTATATTTTTAGGTCAAGCATCTCATTTCAGGTAAGTGTCTTACCACTACCTTCCACTTTTACCTTTGCATATATGCACGATGTAAGTTTGATGTCTTAGTAAAATGGATACCACCTATAGTCAAATTTAATTGCAGTGAAATCATGGCACTGCTCAGACTTACCGGCAAAATAAACTTTTCTGGTTCTTCAGGGCTGCTGAGAACCCTTTACAACAGGGTGAGATAAGACCTGTGTGCAGCCTCTTACCCCAAGTGGTGGGTGAGGATTAATCCACCCCTCTTGCATCAAATCCAACTGGAAGGACATGTGGGATCTAGAGAGGCTTTGCTGCTGGAGGACAGCTTTCATGGTGGAGGCAGTTACCAAAGCCTGTATCTAGAGTTTGTATCAGCTACTACTGCTTTGATTTGAAAATTTTCTCCTTGTCAAGGACAGATTCTTTAAATTTATGCTCTGTCCCTGCAGTCAGTGCCGTCCTGTGTAGGTGTTAATGCTGACATTAGGCTTGGAGATTTCCTTCGTTGCTCAGCAATACATGTTCTGCCATATCTTTCTGACGCAACCATTAAATTAACAGCTTCCTTTAAGTGCGCTGGAGGTTAACAGGATGTCAATACATAAAACAAATTTTCTTAATGTCAGCGTAGAGCCTTTGTTATCCCTACTAGTCACAGTGCCAAAACCAGAAAGGTGTTTCTGCTCACAGGGGATCCCGTCCCCAAACCGGTGTAGTTGGTTGACACCCTTCCACTGATTCCCGTGGCTTTGGGGTCACCCTTGAGCATGGAACAGTTTGACCCCCCTGGGTAATCTAGAAATCGTATTTGGAAAAGCTCTCTGTAGAGCTAATTCAATGGGTTTTTTTCTGGTGTTTATAGTTATTGAGCAGGTAAATATTAAATAGGGTCATCTGGAAAGGGATAAGCACTCTAGCTTTTGCCAACAAACCACTTAAGTACATGCTTAGAGATAAGCACACATTAAGGTAAATGGAGTTGCTCATAAGCTTAGCGTTGAGCATATGTTTAGGGTTTCTGGATATGGAGAAACTCATTGCTTGAAATCATCTTTTATCCTTAATGAACGGAAATTAGATTCTAGTATAAGAATTAATTTTCATTAAATGAAAAATGAAAAACCACTAAAAGGTAAAAAAAGTCAGGATGAAAAAGGAAATGATCTAATCTGAATGCCATAAAAAGGAAAGAACATAATTTCAAGAAACATTCCAAAATTTCTTTCCCATCTTCCAACCTGCTTTAAAACTTATTCAGGTGCCCAGATTGCCTGGCAGGGCTGGCTCAGCGCCTCGGGGAGCGGATTGCCGTGCGTGATGTCTCTAGTATCGCTGGTGAATGCCATGCCCCGGTCCGGCCAGCGCAGGGGAGGACCACGCTGGAGGAGGAGGTAGGAAGGGCTCTGCCCTCACTGACCTGGCTGGAATAAGGTAAAAATAAGATTAAAACTCTTTTCCATGCAAAACCTTAGAGCAATGCCATTCCCTAGGAAGCCACGATCTGCATGTAGTGAGCAGTTCTTTTATGTGCACTTCAAAATCTTGGTTGGAGCTTAAAATATCCAAATTTAGAATTACAGACCTGCTCTGGATGTTACAAAACAATGTTTGGAGAGACAGCAACTCACGTCAAAGCATATCTGGCCTTCTCCTACCAGGAATACTGCAGGACTGTGCAAAAGCTGATATGAAGAGAGCTTTTGGTTTAGCATATATGCCTTTGTCCCCAAGAGGAAGATAGATAAAATGGTAAGAAACACTCTGAATCCTGCTTTTCCCTTGAAAATTTGCTGCTGTGCTGAAGTATATCAGCATCAAAACAGAGGGTAGATTTTTCCAGAGAAGTCCAGCACAAACTGAGAATTCCCACTACGTTCAGTGGGAAACTATATAATCCTGGCCCTTCGTTTGGCAAGTGCTTGACTTGTTCGTAGGGTGGAGTGTCCCCAGCTGCGGGGGACGGGCGGTGCATGCTGGCATTTCCCCGTCAAGCAAAATTGGCGTAAAGAGAAGGAAAACAAATTATTATCAGACCTTGGATGCGAATTCTTTTTAACATTAAAAATGGATAAGCTGTGCTCTTGAGAGGAAAGCAGAGGAGGGAAGGGAAGCCGGGGAAGGGCTGACCCTGTGGTGGGTCGAGAAGCACTCCCGTTAATAGCGATCTGCAGCATCGGGCTTTTAACCAACTCATTAAAAGCTTGATGAGGAAAGCGGAGGAGGGAAGGGAACCCGGGAAGGGCTGACCCTGCGGTGGGTCGAGAAGCACTCCCGTTAATAGCGATCTGCAGCATCGGGCTTTTAACCAACTCATTAAAAGCTTGATTTGTGCTGTGCCTGGTGAAGGAGTGCCTCCTGTTTACCTACCCACGGTGATGGAGGAAAGGGCCTGCCCTTCTCCCACATGCAAATGAGGATTTATATGGCTAGAGCTGAAACATTTGGCAAGTGAGTGCATGAAACTTAAGGTTACCTGTAGGCAGCTGTTGCTCACCCTGTGGGTGTTTTATATGGCTATTTAATTGCATGTTGCTCAGTACTAAATGAGTGCGACTTACGTGAATAACCACAGCAACGCAAATGCTGCTGCCTCTGAGATAAAGGACCGTATTTGAGAAACAAATGCTTAACTAATAATACCATAGGCCTCATGCACTTTTTAAAGTGTACTTTCTCTCTGATAAAAAGGAAAGAAATGGTCTAGTTCTTAAATAAACCCAAAAGCATTTTAAGGACTTTTTTTTTTTCCCTTTTCTATTCTTTTCCCAGGTTGCAAAAATAACATCCAATAATGAAATGAAAACAAGCTGAATAGTTACATCCAGTGGAGGAGGGAAGAGGTAGTTGCAGACAGCTGGAGCATGTCTGGGCCAGCGTCTCAGTTCTTTTCTTTCTGCTAGTTTAGTGCCACTCCAAGAATGCAGACAATGCTGGCTACGACTGTTTCATATTTGATTTCCACACTTAAATCTGCGCTTGTTAAATGAAACCCCATTGTCAGGTTGGCGTGCATCCACGCTGCCTCCTCAGGTCCCGCTTCAGAGCTTGCTGTCTGCGTTTGGGTGTCCTGCTCGTAACCCTTCAGTGAGGATCAGGTATGCAAAGAGCATTTTGCTGTTTTAGTGCTGCTTTTGTGGCATTGCAACAAAAGCTTTTGGGCTTTGCTTGTAACCGCATCCATGGATAACCCTCATAAATCTTGGTCTGAGGGCAGACAGAAGTGCTGCAGGGAAGGGATGGGGTTTTGGAATGGCCTCAAGAGCGGCGGATCAATTGGGCACTTGGTTGGAGTTGGTCTCTGGGCAAGGTACCGGCTGTGCCACCCATGGGAGAAGATGCTTGGGCAAGCAGGGCCTGATTCTGCAAAGGGCCGACATCCTGCCCTGCTCGAGGAGAGGACGCCTCTGGAGATGCTTCTGGTCTCGGTGGGGCCCTTCGCATGTTTTTCTGGGTCAGGACCAGAGGGTTCGGCGGTTGCAGGGCTTTGAAGCGGGGCAGGAGAAATGCTGTGTATTGGAAGCACCGTGAATAACAAAGGATCATTTCATATCCTCTGTAAAATACCAGGGAGGGCATGAAAATGATGAATCTTATTAATAAAGCTTAGGGGATTACAAAATCCAACAGCTGTCCCGTCCTTTAGACTGCAGACCCTCTTGGTCTTTCTACCCCCCATAAGCGGATACCACGGCCTGATACCTGCCCGTTCGTCACAGCACAGCGTGACTCACCCTTCGGTAAATGCCAGTAGGACCAGAGCAGACAGAGCTCGGCCCAAAGTAGTTTGCCGTCTACTTCAGCACGGGAGGAGGAGGGAGAGGTGACAGGATGGGGCTGTGGCACCACGGGGTGTGATGCTGGAGCAGGAGGAAGCACTGGCCATGTTTTGGTTCTTCAGATGCCCCGGAGGAGTCCACTGCTGGGCTGTTGTCATGGAAACCCCCTTATTTTCGTGGATTCAAGACTGGCTCCAAACAAAGGTTAAAGGGAAGAAAAAAAATAAATCCACGGGATCGGATGCACGGAGGGTGAGATTTTCCTCAGCACAGCAAAATTTGCAAATGCCTGAACCAGCAGCGAGTCCTCAGAGGCGTGTGGGCTGGAGGTACGTCGGGGCTGGAAATCGATGCTGTGCCTCATGCGGGAGCCGGTCGGGAGCGCGGAGCTTGGGCTCTGGCTGTGCTCCGGGTCACCCAAAGGCCGGTTCCTCCTCCCCATACTGCTCCTGCCCTCACCTCTCATCCTCCCCCGCCGTCGAGGTGCTGCTGCCTAAGGCTCTACCTGGAGCAGAGATGGTGGATACGTGCTGGATGGTGGTTATTTTTGACACCTTTTGCTGGTCGGTAGCAGATCTCTGTCTGCACAGGTTTTAACAGTTCTGTGCATTAATGGCAGCGCAGCATTCACAGTTGTAAGGAAGAGCAGCAAGGCAAATCTTCAGGTTCTGCTTTCCGTAATGTCAAAAGCAGATTGTATAATTTCCCATAAAATTTTGCCCAGCTTCTAAATTCAGAGGCCCGGGCTATGTATGCTAAAGATATGTGTCCCTTTGTACCCTTTATATCCCAGTACCGTTTCAACTAAAGGGCCAGATTACTATTTAATAAAGCGATTTAAACCCTGATGCACATGGCTTCAGGGGCACCGCAAACGCAGCGCGAGTGCATTCAGGATCTGTCTGTCCTTGCGCAGCCGTGCCGCCCTCCCGGCTGCCGTTACGGCATTACAGGCAGCAATCCCCCTTCCCTGCCGTGACCGATGCTCATGTTTAAATGTCCAAACTGGAGCAGTCTCACAAAAGTCATCACAAAAATGCACAGAAGATGGCCAAACTCAAACACAGGTCTAGTATTTGCAGGGTGAGGCGGTACCACTCATAACCCGTAAGATGGGTCTTTGCAGAGGTTTGGGAAGTCAGCATAGGGAAAGGGGAACAGGACTGCGTAACCCAGGTAGTTGGTCCCAGCGATCCCAGTAAGCGAGCGGTAGCCATATGGGCCAGGGAGATGCAATGGCAGCAGCAAATTGCACTGAGGCGCCTGTGATGCTCAGCATGCCGAAGGCAAAACTAGCCTCCCACTGAAATAGAGACAAAAGCATTTTATCACTTGTCTGACCTGCTGAGAGAAATTTTTTTGAAACCTTTAAAACTAAAGAGCTCAGTATTTTTGTATTTCTTCATTTCCAACTTGGAAAAAAAACCCTGTTTTTTATATTCAATCTCCTTTATTCTGTGTCCAAAAAGGGATGTGATGGTAAGGAAAATTAGTAGCTTGAATGTCATGAACTTATTAAAGAAAAATGTGGATTTTTTTTTTACAGGGAAGACAAAGTCATTGAAACCATATTTTACTAAAAATACTAGAAGAATAAATCGGAACAGGTATACTTACGCAGTTCGTCATATAGCACGTAAGTACAGTGGGTGGCCTTTAAAATTTAAACTGCATACTTGAATACTAACAAAGTTCCTCATTATAAAACAGCGAACGTGATAGGAACTGGCAAAACTACCATGCTGGTGGGATATTTAATGTGCACCCTCGGTAAGCCCTGCACAGCACATTTGATCCACGATATTAGCAAGAAAAGTGCTTTCCTCTTCAAATGCATTGTCCGGATTAACTCTGCCGTTCCCTCGCCACCTCCTGCGTGTGACACCGTATAGAATCCCGGACTTGTCACCCCGACCGATGGCACCTTGCACCGAGCGACCACCCACCCCTGCCCTCAGCAGCTCCCCGCAGCGGGATTTCGAGGCGGCTGAGCTCAGCTCCGGGGTAGGTGGGTGGAAAGCTTTGCTGCTGGAGCTGTCTCGCTGCTGGGTGCCGGGTGCTCAGCCCTCTGCTCCCCGGCCCTCCTGCCTCCTTCTTGTCCCAGCGCGTCCCTGCCCCAGAGGGGTTTGCTATGGAGCCAGCTCCATCCTTTGTGCCAGCTGAGAGGCTTTTCCATGCTGGGGGAAGCCTTAGAAGAGCTTTTAGGAATAATTTACATTTCCTTTGATCCAGGAACTCTGCAGGTAAAGAACTAAGGCTATTAGCGCAAGTAATAACTAGCTGCGGCGCGTGAGCCTCCTGGGGATGGGAATGGGCTCTTCTCTACCAGGCTGGAATAACCGCTCTGCGTTTCTCCCTGGTCCAGTGCACTGAGGGTGGCTTTGAAAGGGGCTGGGTGGTGCACAGCAGAGGCAGGAGCAGGGCCCTGCCGGTGTGCAGTCAAGGCCAGTCAGGAGTGTCCTGGAGGAAAAGTTAAAATTCCCCTTTTGTGGATGCAGGCATAACATGGCATCCTTCTTGTGCACAGCATGATGATGGTTACTGTTTGTTGCCAAAAGGCCAGCAAAAACTGTTCTGTGCATCTCCTGCGTTCGTTATTCTCGTGCTCCTGGGTGACCTCGGGGCACTTGGAAGGACACGGCCGTCCCCAACGGGGGACACTGGCCAAGCCACCATGCTGGCACTGACCACCACTGCATAGTGCCTTTCATCAGGACTGTCCTGCTGGCAAACGGGGAGCAGGGAAGAAACCCAGGACAGCAGCAATAGGAGTGCCTGAAGGAAACCCCAGGCAGCACAGAAAGGAAGGTTATTAAGGTTATTTTAGTGTCTGCTTCATGCTGCTTTCATCACTCTGGACAAGGAATGAGTTTGGGTTTGGTTATTCTTCCAAAGTGCTGTCAAAGGCACAGCAGACACTTGCATTATTCACCAGGTCCCCATCAGGGCAGGGTACATTTTGTCATTGTCCTTATTTCAGAACCAATTTTGACTGGGAGGGTATCTGTGGTGATGACGGGGAGCTGACATTCACAGGCACATTTTCATTCATTTAAATACACCAGCAGCGACTCTGGCTTGCAGTGAGTAATCTTTTTTCCAGTGTAAGCATCTTGGACCCACATGTATCTTTGCTCCTAACTTCAGGCTGGTGAATGGAAAGAAGAGCTGAAGATGTGCTAAAGGCAAGAGTCTGTGTCCGAGGACACGGAAAATAGCACGATCTGGACTGTAATTTCTGGTGCGACGCAGGAGACTATCAACACAGATCCAGAACCTTGAGCACTATTGTCCTGCGGTTTGATTTCCATTCTGGCATGCTAAATGCAGTAAGGCCCAGGTTTTTCATGGCACTTTCCATTTTTGATTTAGGGAATTTGAAAAATACTTGTCTTGAGGCTGAGCCTGAAGTTACAATCTTGGCATATCCATATCATAAAATTCCCGTGGATAAAAGCAGAAACATCTGGATTCATGAGTGGATGTTGGCTAAATCCACCAGAAAAAAAAAAGCCTTCAAGGGATCCTAAAGGGTTCTAGCCAGAATAAATAATACAACAAAATAAGAGTGCTATTAAGAGTAATTGTAATACTGAAGCTGAATTATAAGATGGGGGCCAAGCCCTTTTCACAATCTGCTTTTCCAGCTAAGAGCCCTTCAATTTACACTTAACGCACATGTGGCTGATGGAACAAAGAAAAAATTGAAGAAGGATGAAAGCAGTGCAGAGATTATTCAGCGTTGCTGGTTTAGCTCCAGGCACATCATTTAAATGAGTAGATGATCAGTTTCCAGTTTGTTTTAAATTCTCTGGCAAGAAATTTTACGCTCTATCCCAAAGTTGGATGTGCTTAAAACTTTTTTTTTTTAAGGCTCTGCCATTTTGTTTTATTTCTTAAGGCAAGACTCTGAAAGCACTCTGCAGGAGTCACCTGAGTGCTGGGATCGGAGGGGCGGCCTGGCTGTGTCACTGATGGGGCCATGTCCCTGCTCCCAACCCATGGGGACCCTGGAACAGGGGAACAGTTGCTCCTTTTCTCCCTCACCTCTGGGAGGCTGAGCCCTGCCTTGCTGAGCCAGATGTTACATCTAAGCTCAGCAGCACCCAAAGTCAAGGGAAGTGGCCCTTCTGTGGCTGCACCCTGTTGTACGAGCACCGCTTGCCCCATTTAAAGCTAGTGAAAGGGGAAAGGATTGTATTGCTTGTCGCTGGTATCTCCTCTTGGTGTTTTCAGGGTTAAGAGCTGCTGAACAGCACGTCCTCTCACCACCCAGCCCCTCCTGCATGGGTCTCCTCCACCCGCCTTGCGCCAGGTCTCCAAAGCTGCCCCGAGCACCAGGTCGTGCAGCATGTCTTCTGCTGCTGCGACGGGGCGAACTACACCCACAGCCAGGTGATTAAAAAGTTGTATGTTGTTGAAAAATGCCCTTAACACACCGTCCCTCCCCCACAGATGCAGTCAGCGTTTCTCATTACCTGTACTTTGTCCACGCAGATCTGCATTACTGACCCTCGCTGAGCTTGCAGGTCGCGCTTCCCGATTCCCGGAAAACCTCGGGCATTTGCCTGCTCCGTAACCTTCAGCCAACGCAGCTTGGGGTGAGTTGCTTCCTCGTGGAATAAAAACCCTATCGGTCAGTCCTTGTCCTGTCCTCCCTCCTTGTTGCCCTCATCTTCCCTGTTGTCCATACCACAGCCGACCAGTTAAATAGCTCCTGAGGGAGCTGGTCTGTCGGTACCACTTTAATAGGTCCTCCTCCATGGAGAGGCTTTGGGTTGTTCTCCATGGAGAGACTTTGGGTTGTTCTCCATGGAGATGCTTCCTGTGATGCACTACCAATGCTTCATGCTCTCTGAAGACTGCCACTAGGCTCTGAGCAGTGGGATACATGTTTGGGGTGAGGCAATACTTGAAGCACGCCTGGAAATACCAATGATACACAAACAGTGACATTTATGCTGCCTTATGTTCCAGACAAGGAATAATCCTGTTTATACTGTAAGGAGTGGGAGTTCAATTGGCCTTAAAATAGCCTCAACACATCTAGGAAATTCATAAAAAAGGATGCCCCAGTATTTCTTAGGACATTATTTTCAGCAGATCTTGTTATTTAATTTGCTGCCAACATCTGTCATTTCCTCCACTGCGTATTGCCCAGTACCCCCAGCCTGGGTCTGAACCAAAAGCTCACAGGACCTGATGCAAAAAAATTCAGAGCGCTGCTCTCTATTCGCACGGTATAGCATCTCGACCATCCAAATAAATGAGGAAATACATCTGCTCATAGATGTTACAAAATATTTGGTTTAGATTAGCTCCTATCACTGCCACTGTCCACATTTGCAGTCGTATTCTTCCACCCAACTTGAAGCTGAAGGCAATAGGAAGGTCTGCTGAAGCTGCATGGCTCTCGGGTAGGAACAAATAGTTTGAGAAGTTGAGGAATGAGAGATGAAGCAGAACTAAATTTAGAATCTCGGATTAGAAAATATCTGTATCTTCAGCACTCTGTGGTTTTATTTTGCTCTACACAAAGCACACCTTGGTTTTGCATGGCTGTTTGCAGATTGTATCGACTCAAAGACGACTTGTGGAAAAAAAAAAGGCTTTGATGTCTTCGGTAAACAAATAGCAGTGTTAAAAGATCTTCAGTTCTTGTTAGCATGCTGCAAACAGCTATGTTTGAAGAAAAATAAACATCCCAAGGTTGATGGAAGGGTAGGAAAGCCATAAAATACTGTAGTCAAATCCTTGGTATGAAGACATCAGAAATGACTGCCATGAAAAACCTCTTTATTTCTCTCTCCTTTTGGATTAAAAAGAAAAGAACAAACTGGCGTGTGGTTTACCAGCCATGTGGTGGGAATACATGGGTATAAAACCCTGTGGCTAAGTCATTGCCATCCAAATCACAGGAATACTATCAAGTCCACTGGAAAACCAAAGGTAGGAGTCCCCTGGAGATCTTCCCCTCCAACCATTGGGGTGAGGGGAAGACGACTCGCCCTTCCTCCAAGTCCACTTTTGACTCAGCTTCCTCAGTGCTTCCCCCGCTGCCACAGGGCCACCAGCACCTCTTAACCCTCGCGGCTACAGGACCTCGTCCCAAAAAACCTCAGCGGCTTTTACGTTGTGCAACCAGCGGGTTTCCCTGAGGAGGCACCAGGCGTGCATCCCGCTCTCGGTGAGGAGGATGAGGATTTCACAGCCTCGTGCCTACCTGAGCTTTTACTCTGTAGAGCTGGTTGTACTTGTCTCGTTGCATCACTTGCAACATCCCTTTGGAAATGCAAAAGCTTAGGAAATGAACCAAAGAAAAGAGCTAAACAATGAGCTCAATTACACCAGCATAACCCTGGGGATGTTAATTTACATTTATATCCTTTTAACAATCCAAATTTAGTTCAGAACAAGAAGTTTGGGTTTCCTCTATAAGGGGAAATTAAAAATCAGCAGGTCGTAATAATAATCAATACACCAGTATTTACTGCAAATTTAAATCTTATCAAGAGCCTCTAGGGAGGCTCTCGCTTTAGTTTCATGTAATTCCAAGCATTTCTCTGTTTAAAGAGAGTTCGCAGGAGCTAGGAAATAAATAATTCAGACATAGTTGACTCTTTAAAGTCTCTGTAGCATCACTAACATCTTTCCTTTGATAACACTTTTATTCTGCCTACCAAAGTTCCGTTCCAAATGGGACTGGCGAGGCAAACACTCCATCCAACAAACCAGGGCTTATAAGAAAAAACAGGGGGAAAAAGCAAAAATTCTGGAAAAAAAATGCTTATAATCCCAAAGGTAATAAGCATCCCTCTGGTAACTTCATACAAGCTCTTCACTTTCATTGTGAGCCTCTCCCTGTTGGAGTCACAGCGAGGGTTTGTAGCTAAAGCCGAGGCAGAGACAGTTCATAATAAACAGAAGCTCCTTAGTGACCGTAGCCATGGCACGTGAGAGCTGTTTACCTGGCACCGATGAAGCACTATTCTGTTTATCTTCAGATGTTCCTACAGAAGCAGAAGGTATTACAGTATAGTAAATAAGGCCTCTTCACCCCCAGGAATATGGTTTCTTTTTCCAGACTCGTTGCCCTTCACTTTCAGCTGCAGAAAGCCCATCCTGTGATTTCTGAATTACTCCTTCATCCATCTTCCCAAGAGGACAAACCGCTTCCCGGTGCAGAGCGAGCCAGAAACTTGCTGACAGCGACTGGGGTTGTTGTTTCCAAGGCTGACCTGCCCATCGCAGCCAGAATGAAACCGGCACCCAGTGCCAGCAGGGTCTGCAGGACACGGATGCGTCCTCCAGGGCAGGACCACCTTCTCCCCAGGGAGAGTTATTGTTGCTGTAACGTGTTTGCAGCAGGGAAATTTAGAGGGAAGAGGCTTTAGCCTGTGACTTGAAATCTAGTGTATCACACAGCTAATGCTGTTGGTGTCTTTGCTTGCTCCAAATGGGAAAGATAAGGTCACCGAGAGCTTTGGGAGGTGTTTTGGAGGCTGGAGGTCGCTCCCTGTTCCTGGGCACGGTGGGGGAAAGGCCTTTGGTTTCAAAGGGATTAGGGCTGGGTGCCTCCCACTGCTCGTCAGGCTGGAGCCCTGTTTCTCCCTACCTGCCACAGCAAATATTTTGATTGCAAGAGCCAAAGCAATTGTGTTGTGTACTTGATCATATGCAATCCCCGAGGCATGCTGCTGATAACCACCAGACTCGGTTTCAGATCTGTGGTCATCCGTCCCCCCCGCTGGAGTGCTGCCACCAGCCAGGGTGGCACTGGGTACCGCCACGTGCCCCAGGGCACATCCCGATCCTCCTAAAGGAGACTCGAATGGGACAGTCACATTTCGGGGTAAGCCAGCTTGCATGGCGGTGGCTCCTCAGGCCGCTGCAGTGACAACGTCCCCTCTGCGCGGCGGGGGAAAGCAGAGCGGCAATTTTAAGAAGTGGTAATTTTACCATTGAACTTACGCCTTTGAAGATCCTGTAATACCTAATTCACCCCGTCGGGTGGGATTCGGCACTGAACTGGTTTACGGCGTAGCGCAGCGGGCTGCGTGGAGCGTGTTTATTCAAGTAACATCAGCCCTCTTTATCAAACACTATTCCACTTCTAGTTTAATTAAAACACAATTAGCAGGGCTTGCCATTTTCTTAAATGTGCCCAATCTTCTATGAAATTAATATTAATCTCTGTTCAATGTGCAAGTCAGTAAAGTGACACATGGAAAATTACACGTTCTTGACTCAGGAATGCAAATCGGAGGATGACTTCATGTCCCCGAATGAGAAGATCGCATGCCAGATGCGCCTAGTGCCTGACCCCTTTAAAGGCTCTGAAAGATCACACGTAACTTTAAAATGTCATTTCATGCATGCAGAAGGAAGAAACAGAGCCCGACAGCTTTATGTTACTTAGCTTCCCATTTAATTTGGTTAGGGCGGTGTGAATGTCTTAATAACATGAAGCAGAGCTCTGACCTCTGTTCTGGCTGCATGTTTCCAATAGACACCCTAATGCCTTTCTCATGGCCGGAGTGGTTAACAATCTGTATTTTCTTGCTATTAATTAGAAGTTGTATTTCATTCTCTGATGAAGAGCAAGCCTCGCAGTGTAGCTGACTAGTTTGCAGTCCTCGCTTTGAGTCATGCATTGAATTTTACTGAATTGTTTTATCTGGACATAAAAGCAACAAACGTGAGTATAGAACTAATACCTCTTTAAAACTGTAATTGTATTTTTAAGTCACAAAAATCGGGTGGCATTCAGCCTTTCCTGCTCTTACCCTGTCCTCTGCTGTAGACTTGAATATCCTTTCTTTTCTCTTGTCCAACTGCTCGTTCCCAAAATCCTGCTG